CTGGGACAAAAGGTTGCCCGCCTCCTTTCTACTGAACCTGCGTGCAAACCTGCGTTCCATAAGGTCCGCTCCAACGAGTGGTGTCATGGGACCTGCAAGAAGCCGGCCACGAATCCAATCGTGAAACTGCAATGGTTCCATGCGGTCACCAACAAAAAAAATATTTTTTTCAAAAATTGCAATTTTTTGCGGTGTGAAGGTTTCGAAGGCGGCAAACGCAGGATGCAGTGAACACAGCGATCCAAGCCAACGCCGCAAAATCGCACCATGCGTTGCCAAATTGATACCTTTTGTCAGCACGTATGACGTCAATTTGTACTTGGGCATCGTCAAAGCACCTGCATTTTATATGATATACTTTGTTTGCTGCAGACTGGACAACGCTGTCCGAAACACGTCCGTTGGATCGGGGAAAATGCATTTTTTTTTGAAAAGGCGACAAAGCGAAAGTGTGCATTCGATTGTTGACCCAACGCGCCACGTAAGCAACGGCTGCAAAGAGCCAAATGAAACTTACGGTTTTAAAACACATATGCACATTTGCCAAGGCAACCCCGCTTTTTCAGCGTCGAAAAGGCGAAAACACTGCAAATAATGCGTTTTTGTGCGTATGACATGTCCTCGTGTTTCAAGAGCGGCTGGAAAAGTGTCGCCCAGTTTCACAAGTCCAACAAAGGGTGTCCCACTACACTGTGTTACAAGAGTGTCCCACAAAAGTGCCTTCCACAGAGTACTGCAAGACAGAGAGGGTTTGAAAAAAAATGCAGGAGTGTCGTGCAAGAGTGTCCGCAAAGACTGGGGCAGGCACGCTGTTTTTCAACGTGATGGAAAACAATGAAGGTGGCTGTATGTCCCGCGATATCTGAATTTGCATGCAAAGGTTTTGTTCCAAAATTTGCCTGAATTATGTAGCTGAATATGCAGTATGAGATATGCTCAAGGCATGGAAATGTTTTTCAGAAAATTTGCTACACTTTGTAATTCACAACACAACATCTGTGCTAGCTCTGACACCGTTGGTGCGCCAATCAAAAATATGAGCATGAAATTTGGAAAAACTAACATCAGGATCTGGGGTTGCTCAGGGGCCGTGACAATCACAAGAGAATCCGTTTGACATTTTTGATGCCATGATCTCTGGTTGCCCACGGGTTGTGTTTGCTTTGCAGGTCGTTCAATAACTTGTATAACTTGCTATCATCGTAGTAGCGTTAACATAGCTTTTGGAGTTTCCAGGTCAGAACTGACAAAACCTGGTGATCAGAGCATGGCTGGATTTGACTTCATTAACAAATACCATCAAAAGTGGTGATCGGAGCATGGCTGGACTTGATCCCATCGAAGTATACATATCGAAATGAATTATCAGATTGTGATACGATTTTATGTTTTCAATTTGATTTTACCCCAACATCGTGATCATTTGATGTTTTCAATATGATTTTACCTCAACATTGTGATGCATTTGATCAAGCCGGATTAAATAATGATACGATTTGATGTCAAAAAAATATTTAGCATTTCATCATTTGATGAAAGAACCCTGGGCTACTCCCAACGGGGCTACTCATAAAACTTGCTATCCTTTCCAAAAGAAACGGGACAATTCCAGGAAAAAAAATAAAAATATCTAAAAAGTCAAAAAAATATTCAAAAATTCCAAAAAAAAACAAACCGGAAAAACTGTAAAAAAACGTTAAAAAACACGAGAAAAAGAAAGCGGGAGTGAAGCGGGAGCGAAGCGGGAGCGAAGCGGCAGTCAAGAAAACCATGGAAAACCGTGAAAAAACGTTGAAATCATCGAATCCGCTTCGTTCCCGCTCCGCTCCCGCTTCGTTCCGGCTCCGTTCCCGCTTCAAGCCCGTGGAGTCTTAACGCTACCATGATCATTTCAATGTCTAGGTGCCAAGGGTTGTTGCCACGGAAAAATCACCAGAAAACACGCGTCGTGTATCAAGGTCAATTTACGCACCAAAAAATTCACCAAGTTGTTGCCACCAAAAAATCACCATGAAACCCTAGGAGTGTTAACGCCACCATGACCATTCCAATGTATAACCTTGATGCCTGTGCAGGCCGAATCATCATGCAAAATTGGGGAGAATCCGTTGGCATTGCGAAGTGGACGAGAACACCGCAAGCGAACCCAAAATCGTGGATCGGCAGAAAATGTGCATGTGGAACACCAAATTGTTATCCACTGGCCGGGCGAATCACCCACTTGTGTTGAAGGCACGTTGTCGAAGGACCGGAAGCAAGCAAGGAATTCTTGCATCAACATGTTTCCCGAGAATCCTGTAACCGGTGATGGCCAAGAAGAGAGATACAAACCACGAGGGCGGCGATTGAGCAGTGAATTCATTATACAAATCATTTCAAGCTAGCAAAATCGTTCTACAGATCCTATCAAATTCGAGGAAAATTACCCTGATGCGTTGTCAGCGCTGGGGGGATACAAGTGTTGAGAAAGGCAGACTATATGAAGCCTAGTGCCGCTCTTTGGTGGAAAACAACGGCTTCAGACTCACGTAATTGCCAAAACACTATGAAATACAATTTTGCAGCATTATACAGGTATAGTTGGAGCATCCCGCGTGCTAGGAACGGTTCCGAACGGTTCCTGGCTCACGGGATTTGCATTGCTGGCAGGCATGTTTTGACACTTTCTGGCTTTCCAGAAGAACTGTGCTGCCAAAAAATGTCAGGAACACGGAACAAGGATGTCTTGTAGAAAACAGAGAATCAGGAAGACCTTCATACCAACAGGAACCCATGCCCCATGACCGCCGGAAAGCAAGCGCAAAGGCAGCAAACAATTTGACATGCTGTGGCATGATCGTGCGCCCCCAGAGCGCGCATCCGCTTGCATGCAACATGCAAGATGTCAGGGGGCCTCTTGTGCACTTTCGGGATCCGTTTCACAACATCTCGAACACCGCGAGTGGTGTGAATGGCCCACAGAAGGATTGCGAAATATTTCAACATGTTTTGGATTTTGGGTTTCTTCTTTATTTTTGGGCGTGCTATGTTTATGGGGTGCTAGGCTATGGGGCAAGGTAGCTGGCGGCAGCATATGTTGAGTCCCGGCTGGTCTTATGACATCAGAGAGAGTGCTACGGGACAAATTTCCCAATATAGTTTCCAAAATTTGTGATTTAGTTTCCAAGATAGAAACATATAGTTTCTAAGACGTTTGATATAGCTTCCAACATGGGTTTTGGCCCACAGACAAAGAGGCCACCGGTCGTTCCGATGTATGTCCGTTTTTTTTTTCTGTGCAAAGGTTTGTGCGTAATCCCCGGGCGTGGCTTTGAAGGTAACATCCTACGTTCTTTTGAAGCATAAGGCAGCTAATGGGATTTTCAAAAGAAATTGAACCACGAAGAAAACATGACATGCTTCCAAATATTGACCCTTGCTCTTTCATCGTTTGTCTGCTTGGCTTTCAAATTTCTGTTCTAATCCGGCCTCCTGTGGGCATATGTTTTGTCCCGTGATTTTCATATCATTTCGCATTACAGGCGTGAACACGTAAGTATGAACATTACAAACCAGACAGTGGTCAGTCACAAGTGAGTCATAACTATCTTGGCATGCGTCTCATAGCAACATCTTACCATGACATGCTCCTTCTCCGGCCACCCGGAATTTAGTTTCCAGGCGTTGCATTTTGTCGTGGGGCATGATGTTCATTAATAAAACCAACATGAGTAAAAATTGAGCACTTTGTAGTTGATATTTTCCCTTTTTAGTATGGTCGTAAGTGGTCACTTTGTAGTGGATGTTGGGCGCACTTTGTATTACATTCCGGGGGCACCCTGATTTTTCCACTACAAAGAGGGTCGCCGCGTGTTTGCTACAAACCCGTTATTTTGATAGGATTTTTTCCCATGTATGAAAAAACAAAAACAAGTTTTTTTCTAGTGTGCAGACTTCAAAGGGGAAAAATGTGGGTCAAAATCAATAATGGTGAAATTCAAACAGTGGGTTGAATCCTTTTTGTTTTTCCATAGGCTGAAACTTGTCGTAAAAATATCTGAGCCGTGCTTTGTTTGCACATATCCTATAGTTTGCCGGTGTGCCTTTGTCATGTGCATTGCGTTCTTTTCTTATCATAAATTTGTGTACCAGTGGCAGGCCGTCCCAAGGGCCCCCAGATCATCCAAAATGATCACAAATTAATGTTAGGCCTCATGTAAACTCGTGTTGGAATTTCAGAAACATTTGGTAACTATCAGTATGGGCCCGGTGACGTGTATCTACAAAGTGCCTGCGCAACTTCACCCCTGGAAAGCACAAGTTTTTTTTTTAACACATGCCAATCCATTGTTTTTGGTTTTCGGGGCCAAATTTGAAAGCATTGTTGTGGTAGACAAGGCAAGAAAGTCGACTATGTAGGCATCATGGCCGTTAGTTCTAAAAAGCCTTGTTCAGCAACTCGCTGTTTTTGAGCTGGATATGGCGTGCCAAACAAAGTGCATACACCGAGTTGTCGCACGCCCGCGGGCTCCAGCAATGCAGAAGGGGAAGGGGCACACGTCAGCCAGCATGTTCTGCAAAAGCTGTTTGTGACTGATTTGTCCTTATGAAACCTGTTCTGCATTTGCAAAAACCTGTTCTGCATTTGCAAAACAAGTAGTGGGGCAAGGCGCGGTTGAGTTTTTTCGCGGGGAACATTGCAAGACCAAAGGTGTAGAGCCAGGGCTCCGGACGCCATGGAGGGATACCCTTCTGGAGATGCGCCAAAAGTTGCCGAAAGTGCAACAGCAACAAAGGATGGGAACTGTTAGATTCATCAAATTGTGTTCGACATATGGGGTGTCCGCCAAACCGCATCATGTGATTGTTTCCTGCGCACTTAACAACAAACAGTGCGAACGCCAAATAAAGCACATTTGGGGTTTTTCGATGAAGGCAACCAATTGATTGTTGAAACGTGAACCTACCCGCTGATGCAAACAATCTTGCTACTATGTTTCGTTTTGCTGCCCATCCATGTGCTCACTTGTGGTGAAGAGGGGGAAGGCGATGAAGAGGCGGTAGCTGACGAAAAATCGCATCTTGACTTGAAATTTATATTTCTTTTGGAATCAAGATGATCCACAATGTTGGATTCAGGATTTGGTGCAATTGTGTTGCATATGACACCACGAAACGAGGGTTTGGGTTTGTTGGATGTTCCTCAACGTGAATTGGTTTGCTGTTTCAACACACAGTTCAAATTGCGCTGAACTTTAAGCGCGTGCACTTTCATCGGTCAAGAACTCAGGACGCAAAAAAAAGGAGAGAACGCCGAAGACGACAAGGTCTGGTGGTTTGTTGCGTTGCCTTGTTTTTCTTTGGAAGGTGCGGCGAAAAAGGTGCAGGGGTGCATTTCTATTAATTAGGAGGTAGTGGGAAGCCTACAACTGTTTTCAGTTGTTTTTGCTGCATTCTGGGTTGGATGTGGTATTTGGAAATGATTTCGGGGATGACTTTTGGCCTTGCGAATTGTTTGCAACAACGACCTTGTACACAAGTAAATTGATTTCTAAAAATGAGTTGAGAACAGCCGTCCCTATCCCGTGCAAATTTTGGATGTGGGGATCTCTTTTCAGATATCTTGATTTTGCATGGCAAGACTTGTTGGGAGATGTGACCTTAGGAAGACCGTTTCCATGACCAACTGGGCCAACTGTTCAACTGGGATCCTCCGGGCAAAACCACCTTGCCGCAGGAAACCGATGTGACCAGTCAAGAACATTTGGTACAGATGCTGCGCAAGAGAGGTACATGCGAGGAGCAGCGGCGTCAGCCGAGCGATTCGAGTGGCAAATGTCGTTGGCACCGAAGATCATGTTCGGAGAAAAACTGATAAAAAGTGAGACATTTTTCCTGGAGAGAAATTTCCATCGCATTTCGAAACTTTCGATAAACCCCTCCAGCAGGAATCCCGTCGGCATTCTGAACGCCCCCACACCTTTTGGGATACCCAGCCTGTACCATCGATGAGTTCTGAGCTGCTTGGCAAAATGGTTTCAGTACTTATGCGTTTGTCTTAAAACGAGGAATTTACAAGCATTGGATGGCAATGTTACGGGGAAAAACAAAAATACGCCCTTTTATTCTCCAAAATTTTCAGGGATAGAGCCAACAATATGAGGGTTCGTTTGGAACCAGATGAGGTATTCCCAGGACAATGGGCCCCTTGACAACATCAAAACCCCGGAGGATGTGCGATCTGCAACTTGATCTGCACGTAGGGAGAGGGCTCAAAAGATTGCATGCTTGGTGAGTGCCCAGAGAAAACAAATGCATCCTGTGGGTCATCGTGGAGGTCCCGTTGGCCACGGATCGTGGTTTTAGCTTGTTTCCATTCCCTGATACTTCTCTTTGATGTAGCTGTTTAGAACCGCTTCGATGAAACTTGATGCACTGTGGGAGATGGTTGATGGTTGGCATTTGCTGTCCAGGATCCATATCCTCTTCCCGCACAATTTGAGTGGTGCACTTGCCGCTTTGCTGATTGCGCAACTGATTCCTTTGAGTCAATAGCACATTACGATGAGATACTCGCAGAGTTGGGAGAACTCATTTTGCCACATACGGAGGTGGCATTGAAGATTTAGAAATTTGCATCAATCTATTTGGCCGTATGTATGCAGTTCGCTAGGCTGGCTGAAGAGCATGTTTAGTTGGCATTTTGCACTGTCCAATCTGTGGCCAGCCTGAGAGATCGATGGTGTGAAGTCATATCCGCAGCAAGGGTCATTTGACCGACAGCTGAGCTTCTGAGGTGATGTGAATGATGCCAAAGAGCTTCAGGAAATCTACACGTTGCTGACGGAGAACTACGTGGAAGACGATGACCCCGAGGGGCTGCCGGGATGTGGTCAGCTGTGGTGGACGAGAGTTAACTTCGGGGGTTTGTATCACCCAATCTGGGAGAATTTTTTCCTTCTTCAGTTGCCGATGTTGCCGACCTTCCCTTGGTCTCAAATTTGATTGGGGAAACGGAGAAATCGGCAGCAAAAAAACAGGACAGCATGTTCCGCTTCGACTATTCGACGGACTTCTTGGAATGGGCCTTGAAACCGCCAGGGTATTTGAGGCCGTAGATCGGGGGTATGGTCACAAGAGCAACTCAAATGGGCGCACCATGTGTGCAATGATGGGGCCTCACCAAGTACCTACTATGACGGATGACCCTCCAGTAATCAAACGTGGCGTGTTGGTTTTCCATAAAAATCCCAATTTCTAGGGAATTCCCAGCTTGCCATGTTTGATTACCAGAGGTTTGGCTTGATCTATGTCCAAGTTCTCAGGCAGTGGCACCTCGGGGTGCGGGTCAAGGGAGGTGGCAAGCCCCTTGGAAGCGCAGGAGGGTACTGTTGCAGCCCTTCTGCGAAGGTGCTTAAGATCTGATTCAAAGTGCACTTATGGTTCCAGTTAAGACAGAGCAAAAGGCTCACTCAATCGATTTCTAATGATTTGCTGGTGTCACATTTGTGTAGTGTCCGAAAAGTGCCAGGTTATTCCCCAGAAAAAAGGAGAAGAAAAAGGGAGGCTTTCACAGCCGTTGGTTGTCCTCAGTGAAGTGCAAGAGAAAAGTGCATGCGATGTGTGTAACCTCGTCTTGTGATTTGAGGTTGGTGGGCTTTATTACTGGCATCCCTGCACATATCCAGGCGGGATTGAGAGTCCGGTGTCGTTGCCTTTGGACACACTATCTTCACAGGACTCGTTTTCCGAATGATTGGGGCATTGCGGCATTCTCATCTCTGGCATCTGGTCTTTGAGTTTTGGAAAGATGCTGAAGGTCTCAACATAAGGCCCAGATTGCCACGTCCAAAGAGGTCCCATGTATCATTCAAGGTGGTGCCCCATAGTTAGATAAGTTGGTGCAAATAACTCCCATTTCACTATGGTTTATGGCAGATATAACTATAGTTTTCATGGGGTTTATAAACCAACTTATAACTGGGGGGCACCATCCTGTTGAGAGTCTTTGTCCATGGAAATTGGGCCTGAAGGCCAACCTGTGAGGTCTTTGAAAAGAAGATCGACATGGCTGAGATCAACTTCCTGTGCGTGCACAAGAAATTGAGATCTAAGAGGCTGGCGCCAGTGCTGATCAAGGAGTGGCACATGGGAATACATGGGATCCCAAGGTTATGCGGTGCCCAAGGTCCTGGGTTTACTGATGATACCCTCTGGTAAACTAACATAACTATGGAAAATCACCATTTTCAATGGGAAAACTCACTATAAATGTCCATTTTCAATAGCTATGTTAGTTTACCAGAGGGTATTTGGCATCGTCCACCGGACAAAACCCGTCGGGACTTGGTGCGCAGGAGATCACCCGGCGCGTGAACTGCGAAAACGTTTGGCAGGCCGTCTACACCGCTGGGGTGGTCTTGCCACGGCCTGTGAGCGAGTGCCGACGCTTGGATTGGGATGGATTGGGAAGGGATGGTTGAACCTGTTGGGTAAGCCATCTTCATAAAGCCATGCTTTGTTGGAGACATTTGGAGCAGTTGCCTTGCTGCACCGAGGATATCACCACCGTTCATTGAACCCAAAGAAATTGATTGAAGTGGGCTTCTCGCACCTTGGCGCCCGAATGACGATGGCCAGAACCATCAAACTCTACAAGGCCTGGGGGTTGGGCGCCTCAAAAAGTGATGAATCGCAATTAGACTGGTACCCCCCATAGATTCAGAAAGGTGTATACCCAAGGTGTCTGAATCTGAGATCAACCTGACACCAGGTACCTGATGCGCCTCAGCTCTCTGGGATGCGAGAGATGAAGAAAGCGGATGTACCCAGGGTGCACTTCCTGGTGTCCACCTACCTCAAGATGCTCGCCATGACGTACTCAGTGGCAAGTTCAGCTAATTCAGGTGCTGATCGAATCAGAAGCAGTGGCAAGAACTAGTCTAACTAGTCACTGCTTTTCTGCTTGATTCTGAGGTCCCCAAACTGCGAGAAAGTGTTTATTGACAGACAAGGCTTACGAATCCACTGTCCACTTGGTGTGGGTTCTGAGCCAACAAAGCCAAGGAAGTTCCAGCTGCATCCCGAACTCTCAGCAGATGAGGCAAGATGGAGATACGGCTGGGGGTGAATGTGAAAAGCTTGGCCGAGAATGCACGTGCGGAAATCATCAAGTCAAGTTGGGGACACCATGAATTTCAGATTCCGAATTCCGAAGTGTTTTTTGGGAGGAGTATCTCATTTTGATTGCTAGTACCTGTGGAGGAGTGTTGAATAAGCCGGCTTTTTTTTTGGGCAATGTCATCATCACTTTTTTGGTTTTATTGTTGCCCTGTACGCTGGAAAATCGCCATATATTTTTTTAAAGCAAACGAATGCACTCTCGCATGTTTTCATATATTTTCCGATCAAACGTTGTTGAATACATCCCGTAGATATACACCATATTTATTCATCCCATACTATCCCATATGGATTTTGTCCCCAACTGCCATGTTGAATTGCCAGCGGGTATGCCTTGCCTGCCAGATTGAACATTGGATGCTTCCTCGGAAGGATGTGGTCTACTGCTATGTCCGTTGCTGGGCGTGACCATCCTGCGCCCTCATAGATCTCTAGCACCGGAAACCTCCACTTTCTGAAATCTGAAGCGCATTGAGCCGCACATGGAGAGCTAAAGAGTCTATGTAGAATCTATAGGAACCTGCAAACTAGACCCTATGCCATGATTGTCTTATTGGAAATAGTCATTTCAATTTTCCTGCGTTGAACTTGAAGAGAATGGGCAAGTGGACCTTCGGTGGACTCTTCACCAAATGGAGTGAAGAGAATGCCACAACTGTTTGAATCGGTAATCATATACAAAAACGGATCCTTAAATACCAAACATGACATATTTAGTGGGTCATTGCCCCAATTTGACCCATACTGATACTCATATTTGCACCAGAATCGGCAACAGCTTGGGAGCTCTTCACCGGCTCTTCACCGGCTCGCTTGGGCTGAGGCGAGAATGAGAAAGGAGAGATCAACGATGTGTGCTCCTTTTACAATTTGCCCTCGACTGTTCTAGGCCGGGCTTGCATCCTGGGCCATGAAGATGGATTCTGAGTCGAAAACCGGAGTGAGCAACCAGGGTGAGCCTGGCAAGATCCGAAATTATGCTGATCTGAGAAATGTCAAGCCTGGATTACAGTGTACTGCAAGAGGATTTCCTGTGCTATCTACAATGGGGCTTGAACCAACCAGGAATCACATTTGTTGATGAATGTGGTGGGTACACAGATGGATCGTTTATCTCAAAACAGACCAAGTTGGTGGGCTCATTGGTATTCCATTTTTGACAACCATTGGTCATTCTGGTTCTATCCCATATTTTGCTGGTTTTTCTCCAACTTTTGCTTGCTTAAAACCTCTAGCTGGGCCATCTTCCTGCATTTTGCAGGTCACGAGAAGCACAACCAGCTTCGGGCAGCGTACTCCTATTGGAACGTGGCAAACACTGTGCCCTTGCAGGCTGCCGGATGGGGAGGTTTTCGCTACAGGATTCAGAAAGTTGATAAAGTTGATCCTTTTCCCCCTGTTTTCGACGTAGAAACGCTGAATCTTGGACCGACTTGGGTCCCAGGGGCATGGAAAATCTCATGCTCAGCCCAATGGCGTCGCAGGACTTGATGTATGATGCACTGATTCTGGCGAAGCAGCGTGTGACGAACTCAGCACCAGACTAGGGCAGACCTCAACAATCATGGAAGACAGAGAAAGAGCAAAAAAGAGCCTCACGTGGCTAAACTAAAGTGAGACATCCAATGATGACATTTTGGATGTGGAGACACAGACAAAAAACTAGTCACAGGATCATTACCAAGTTACGGTGCCCCCGCAGGATTTTGACGTTTTCAATGCCTTGGACGTCATGGAGAACGAGAGTTTCTTGAAGGCCAGGGTTCAGCAGGAGGTTCCGAACCTTGGGTAGCGATTTCTTCAAGCCATTGGGGTCCGCAGGAGCTGAAGTTTGGCATTGGAGATGGCTTTCTGCTCCTTGGTGAAGCTTTCTGCAGGAGGTGAATTCTTTGATGCCCAAAAAAGGCCGAAAATTAAGAGATCCATACTGATCCACTACATTCCACTGGGGTCACTGGGGTTTCTAATGATATCTAATGCTGAGTTATAGGGGCATGCCATGCTGAGACTGCTTCAGTCTGAATTTTGTGACACCTGAGATCTGTGAAACTGAGGCAGTACTACCTCTACAACTGGAAGTGTCCGAAGATTGATCCGCATGGCATCGGATTAGTTCTCCTTTAAAGCTGAGTCGAGTCGAGTCGATGGGTCAACATTTGGGGGATTGCCATGGGAAAAAACCCGAAAAAACCATCCCGAAGATTGCTAGTCGGCTAGTCAACTATCCGGAAATGGTACCCTCTGGTTATGACTAACAGTTCGCCATGGTATAGATGGCCCATAGAAATAGATGGTTTACCTATTAATAGCATGGTGATTTTCCATGGCAAACTGTTAGTCATAACCAGATGGTAGGGTCTGTTAAATAACCAGATGGTAGGGTTATTGTTGGGATTTTGAACAATGGATGGTTGATACTTGGCCAAACTGACCAAATCTCTGGTTACGGGCCAATGGGCCCTAAAAATAATTTGACCCATACCCAGATAGTGATGAAACGCGACCCTAGGAAGTCACGGTCTCGGAAAAACACAAAGTTAAAAGGTGAAATCACGAAATTCTAGTCCCTAACTCTTTGAAGAAGGCTGGTGGCATAAACACTAGCCAGCCAGCTTGAGTCCTTGATAAATCTCAGAAACAGGGCCGGTGGCAGCCTGCCAATACCAAATCGTACCGGGCTGTGATTCTCACCGGTCAATTACCAGTGGGAGGTAGATTTCAAATGGTGATGATCGACTGAAATCAGATGCCCTACTGGGAAAAAGGCTTAATTACAACTGGTCATTGACCACATGGCGTTTTCAGAGTTCGATTGGAGCAGTTCGCAGTTCAAAAGGGGGCCGTGAAAAAAATCCGCCCGGGCTGTCACAGGACTATGGTGCATTGGTTGTGCCAAGAAATGTGGCATTAAATCTTGCAACATGTGGGAAAATTTACAGGAAACCATGTTTTTTACCATCAAATATAGAGGTTTCCTGTAAATTTTCCCATCATCCAGTTCTATGAATGTTTCTGATTTTTTCCATGAACCAATTGATTTGGAGTGGGATACATCTGAGCATAGGTCGATTCACTTAGTTGTGCTTTGGAATGGACAACTCTTCGCGTGATTTGGTGCCGCCGTGTCGCAGGCTTTGGTAGCGGCCATGATCAACACGCCAATGGGGACCACCAAAAGCCCAGACATGAGCAGAAGGCAACCATTAAACAGATAGACCCGAAAGTGTTTTAGCATTTGCCAGGTTCATTTCTTTCAGGCCACAAGCTGCACCACTAGCCATGGCTGAAGCGGATAAGAGCCCGAAGGAGAGAATATGGCCGTGATTTTGGAACCAGACATGTGGTCATCTTGGGTGTCATAAACCTTCCAAGCATATTCAAAGGATGACAAAACTCTCAGAGCCGTCCATTCCACAATATGAATTGTTTTTTGCCGAGCACGCGACTTATTCATGCTTATTCTGTCCTTCTGTGGTCAGACTGCCAGGAGGAGCCAGAGGAAGAAGAGGAGGCGGAAGAGGAGGAGGATGAAGTCGAGAATGACGAAACTGGCCAAGCGGGAGGCGAAAAGAAAAAGAAGAAGAAGAAGCCTCCTGGAAGAATATTTGGTGGATTTTCTTTCACCAGTCAACATAAGACGATGTGTCACCTCCCAAGAATTAATGGATGGTCAGTATCCAGTTTCTTGGACCAACAACTTTGAGCCATTTCTGGATTTGGGTTTGCGACTCTGGGGAACCAAAAGTTGGATTAGCATTGATAAGTCTGATAAGATTTCCATACGCTCCCGGCGAATCATAGGTTCCAAACAAGGCCTGTTACAACCATTTGATCAAATCCAGGAATCCATCATCCCACGAATCGACCCCAAAAACAATGAAAAAATCACCATTTTGTGTGCCCCAAACGATACGTTAGCAGAATCTGTGCTATAAGTGGTATTAACAGTATTAACACATATTTTTTCACTGCTTACTCCAATCCAAAAAAGAGACCTGGCCACCTGGCATTTCACCTGGCCCGGCCCCCAGGAAGAAGCCCGCCAAGAAGGAAGGCGCGGCTACCGCAGGCTACCCGGCTCCAGCCAACGGAGAGGAGGACCCTTTTGGACGACTCGACGACTTTTTGACGATGCACCAAGGGGTCGCAATTCAGAAATGGGGGTAAACAAAAAAAAGACATTGGAACTGTATCAATTGCATCACCTATGGTGTTTTTCTGGATATGTTGGGGCGAACCATGTTTTTGGACTATATAATGATTTGGGTTTTGGGATTGGATTGGTGGGTTGTTAATGATTGATAAGCATGATTTGGGAATGATTGGTATGATCTGTAAAATCTCAGGTATTTGTGATGAGCATGGGTTTCAATACCAATTAGACATGACTATATATTATATTTATGGCTTGAATAAGCGAATAAGCGTCAGTAGTATCATTATAGCTTCAGAACCATAAACAGCATCGTTTGATATGGGTTTTGTTGAGGTTTCAGGATTCGTATTGCCAGTGGATGATTGAAACATCGCGGTATGTCGGATGATCATCGGCTATCATGCCCACGATTAAAACTGAATATGGTCCATGGTTCATGCGCATTATCAATAATATGCAGTTGAAAACTTGATTTTTCTGAATTCGTTTTCATATTTTGTTGTATGTAACATTGGGCACATGAATCAACTCCTTGACCTACTCTGGTGATCAAACATGGCAAGTGCCAACAATCTTTCATGTACATCCATCTACAGATGATTTTCCCATTCAAATGTGGAAACGGCATTCAGCAACATTTGCAGAAAAAAACATACGATTTAATCTGATTAACGTAGACAGTTGAATTCCAAATATCTAAAGCATGTTGTTTTAAGATTTAGATCCGTTGCCATGTTTGATGGCCAGAACATATTCTGATGGATTCTCCCACCGGGAAGGCCGTGATGTAAAACGCCGTGCGATGCCATTTAGGGGAAAATGCCATGCAGGAGTAGTTTCTTTCTATGATATGTAAATAAATCGGAATTGCCAGATTTTTTTTGGGCAGCCTCTAGCTAGTTCACATGGTTTCCCCAGGAACATGATTTACGCATTAAAAAAATGAGTTTTCTAGATTCATTTGGTAGCAGCCCCATCCAGATTCAAAAGTTGGAAGCCTGGACAAACAATGGGGGAAGCATCATCTACAACATCCTGGAAGCACATGACTCTATGTTGTTTGGGTTGCCATAGTTACTTTGTCAGACCAGTAGAGATTGTATAGATAAATAGATCTTTCAGTGACTAGTAATTCTCATGGCTGTTAAATTTTACCCTCCGGACGCCAGACTGTGAATGAACCAGTGTATACTCATTATATACACATACAGTCATATACATATTTATATACAGTATATATATATACTGTTTCTGCTTTGACTGCTGTCAATCTCCAGTTTCAGTCACACTCCCACCAGTGTGCGCCGCAGGATAAGGAAGATCCTGATCAACAGCAGCACCTGCTTCAGATGCTGCGCAAGCGAGGTCCTTGTGAGGACAGGGGTATCAGGCAACATGGAGATGGCTCAAAACCAATCCCATCCCTCTTTACTAATTGAATGCTACCAATAAGCAACTCCAAAATGAAGAGGTCCAATGCAAAAAAGGGTTTTGGATAAGTCCAACAGAGGGTAGGCAGCTAGCCGGAAAATATGCACTGAGCTTTTCAAGAGACATTTCCAGCCGTTACCAGGCCGTTACGGGGCCGTTACCCTTGATGTCATCCCTGAGGAATCCAGGAGACAAACGGCCCGAGAACACGCCTTTTGGGATACCCAGCCTGTGCCATCCATGGGCTCCGAGTGCGCCCGGAGCTGGGAGCTAAGTGGATCTATGAATTGAGTTTCCCAAACCCTGGTTTATTAATTAGGGGGGTACCCTTCCAATAGTCATATGAAACTTTTTTATGGTACTCTCCCAATTAAACAATCTAGGGGTTTATTAAACCAGGGTTGACATTACAACATATCCAACATATGAGGGCAATGCAGAGAGAGAGAGAGAGATACATATGATTACATATGTATACGCATACACCTAATCTGCCAAACTTGAGCCTTGCAGCCAACAGAATCGTGGTAACATGAAGAATGGTGGGGATACCTTTTCCGTAACCGTGCGAAGAGCTCCCCTAACACAACTCAGTGAGTTGGACATGTCACTTGACAACGATATGCACCAACTGGGCTTTTTTGACTACAACCTTAGTCGTCAATACAACTGGGGTGGTATAACTCACGGATATTTAGTGCTTCTTGTTTGTGATTCAACATGGGTCATTAAATGTCCCCATTGAACATCACCCAACCATTAGGTATATGGTCTATAATGGCTACTATAAGGTGATGTCCAATATATCCAAAATGGGACAGTTACCAACCCCTGTTCAATACAAACATGTCAAAAAACACCTGACGTGTTGTCACTTTTATAACGCAACGTCGGACCCCCGACTCGTTGCGTTGTGCGCCAGCCAGGTATGGTCAAGACAGTGGCCCCTTGGACGAGGTTCGCCAGGTGGAGGACGTGCACGCCGCCGCTCGGAGAATTGCTCGGAGGGTGAACATCCGTGGGCCCAATGGAAAACCGTTGAAACTTTGAGATATTCATTGGAGATTCCATGTAATTAACGAGGTTATACTCATGAAACACAGGGAAGTTTTGATATGGATTCGAGTTGGGAAATCTGTGGCCTTGCTGTGGGGCCTGCCCCAGATGACCTCGAGCAAAGGGGTTTTGGAGACGACCGGACCTGGGCTACAGCGGCTACAGGTCAAATCTTCTTGGGGTCTACTTCACTCTCACTCTGTTTGAAAACATCATGGCACAGCACTTTGCCAAATTTTTGTAGGATAATTGGCAATTGTAACAAAATTTCCGCCCATGCCAAGCGGGGGTCATATTTCATTGGTTTTTTCAGGTATGGAAATTGGGGCACCTGACCTTTGCTCATGTTCGATACCAAGGAGCCTTACCCTTTGCCCGACAAATTCGAATGGTGCACTTGCGTCTTGGTCTCAATTCATGAAAAGATACTGAATTGATTGTGCATAATTTTCCGGTATTTTCCTTCTTATTTACTGACATTTTTTGGCATGCGCTATTTTCAGTCAGACCCATCTGTAGATAGACCTTTGTGAAACTAGAGATTTTCCATTGGGAGGGTTAAGTTATGGAAAGTAGAACTGAAAAAGTTATGAGCAGGCCCTCCCAAAGATTAGGGTAAAGTTGGTAAAGTGGGTGCCTTCAGATATTCCCTGTGTAACACTGAAAATGCTGACGCTTTCAAGCAGCTACTCAGCTAGTTGGCTTGTTGTTTAAAGTGGATTGGGATAGGCTTTCGAATGCTCCCCGTCCGGTGGTCACGCTTTGCCTGAGATCGCCGGTTGCAGGCAATGTTGATGATGACAAGGAGATTGACGAGATCTATACCCTGCTCACGGAGAACTACGTGGAGGACGATGATGCTTGGCGCAAGGCACCACACCGTCGAGGGTGAGCTGAGGCGCCTGAAAGTTGACATCCATCCCACAAAAAAAGGGGCATGCGGAACACTCTACCCTGGTTGATTCATGAGATTCATTGGGATGTACCCTCTGGTAATTTAACATAGCTATTGAAAATCACCATTTTTCATGGCTAAATCAGCTATAAATGGCAATGTTCAATAGTTATGTTAATTTACCAGAGGGTATCCCCCAAAAAGTGATCATGTGCCACTCAAAGGAACTAACCAAACAGCCGCCAGGCGTTTCGCAAGGGTTCAACCGTTGACATTGCCCCTGATTCCGGTGAATCTCCGTGGTTGTTCAAAGATGCGAAACGAAGCGCTGAGGACAGCATGTTCCGCTTCGACTACTCCGTCCACTTTTTACGTTGGGCCTTGAAGCCGCCTGAGTTCCTGAGGCTTTGCCGCGGGGTGCAGCTTCTGAACGGGCGGGTAAAAACTGAAACTGCAAGTTTGAAGGGGAGCCAGCCGTTTCATGAGTTTTAGCACTTGGATTCTGGGAGAATTTCTTGAGTTCCACCGTTCCACCCATCTGGGTTTACACCGGACCAGGACTCCACTCCTAACAGTCCTAACATCAACTGAACATCGTTCCATGCCCACACAGGAGTTGGCATTTGGGTGTGAGGGTGCAAGGCGGAGGAAAGCCACTTGGTGGAGTCAACCCTTCCAAACGTGGGTATATAGATTTGCCGATTTGCCGCGACATTCCTTGACAGGTCGGTTGTTTGTCATCCATGTGGCGACTGATTCGTGTTGCAGAGTCATCTGCCAATTTAAACCACAATCTCCCGAGGTTGGTGGGCTTTATTACAGGCATCCCAGCTAAGATTCGAGCCCTTTGACCGAAACCAGGGGCTGCACCTGGTGGATTGGTGACATTTTCGGGTGTCCTAAGTCATGTCCCGGGGGGTACCCCCAAAATTGGGGATTATCAATGGGAACACCCATAAGACACCTCCAAATGATGCAGATGTCTCCGAAAAGTTGTGAGGAAGATCCGGAAGTGGATGTGGCTTGGGAACATTTGGGAACATTTCTACAGCTGATGTCAGATATCAAAGAGAGCTCTCGTCACAAGATGTCACAAGCAATCCTTCAAGTCATATGCTTTGTGATATGAACTGGCAAGGGTTTTCTTTGGCAAGCGTACCTTCTACTACAATGCAGTATCCAGTATCCCTTATCAGAAGGTGATTCTCAACCTGTTTCTCCTTTGATACAATCTTCACTTCCCTTTTCATTGAATCATTTATGTAATCCTCCCTTTCTGAGTACATGTCGTTCTCGTAGCGACGAGCAAAAAGATAGAAGAGTAAAATCCTAAAATCATGTTGAACATATCATATATATTCATATAGCCATTCTTTTTTTTGGGGGTTACTAGCTATATATATATATACATATATGTCCCATATCCCCAGCACGAAAAACCCCGTTTATTTTAGGTGCTCGAGAAGTCCATTCAGATGGCAGAGATCAACTTCCTCTGCGTGCACAAACGTTTGCGCTCCAAGCGCTTGGCGCCGGTGCTCATCAAGGACGGATGGATGAGGGATGGGATGGGGTGGATTTCAGAGCTGGCTGACATGGTCTGTACCATGTATATATATATATACATATATAGATAGATAGATAGATAGATAGATTATAGATGCAATTTAAAAGTTGAGGTTGGGAAGACCTTTGGATCCTTTAGTAGCTTCATTTTCGATTTTTGAGCGTCATGGACAGTCAAGGTGCGACTGCCGTCTGCCATATTCTGCCGAGCAGGAGATCACACGCAGAGTGAACAGGGAGAACATTTGGCAGGCGGTGTACACTGCTGGAGTGGTCCTGCCCAGACCCATCAGCGAATGCCGTCCTTTGGCCAAACGCTGATGACATCTGATGACTAGGGACTAGGGCCTAAGGGGTCAATGGCACCCTGGCATCCTCGGGTTCAAAATGGTCAGGATTTATGGATTTTCCTTCCAAAATATGTGATTGTAGATTTTGACGCAACCCTGCAGTAGCGCAGAACTTTGTTTACGTGTGCCAGTGTGTGCGGATTCCTGACAGATCGTGTTCAGCATGCTTTCATGCTTGAGACGTATGTTTTGAGATGAGCGCAACCAAAGTTTTAATCATCCACTTTTGTCCTGGACAATACCATCATTCATGGACGTGGGGATGCGACTGCCCATAAAGTCTCTAGGTAACTCACGCAGGTGGAAAGGTCATGAAAAAAAAATATATGAAAATTCCTTGAAACCCTGAGATTTCCAGGGATTTCCTTCCATATTTCTTCCTTTTTCCACAGGTGAATCCCATCTTCAACTGGTCCCGATCCAAGGCTACTGGCACCGCTCCTTGAACCCCAAGAAGCTGATCGAAGTGGGCTTCTCCCACCTCGGGGCACGAATGACCATGGCCAGGACCATCAAACTCTACAAGGTCGGCCCTGGGAAGGATGGGAAAGGAATTATGCTCAATTGGTGGCTTTTTTTTGGGGGGCTGGAAGCCAATCATATCCATATCCAAGTTGAATATATGTGTAAATTTTATTTGTTGGTTTTTCTTTATGCATTTATTCATTATTATTCATTCATGTATTCATGTATGTAATGTACATCCAACAGACAGTCGATAGTAGCATCATGTTTGTGAACTCGGCAGCACAATCTGCGCGTCTGACAAAGCCCTAGGTGCCCGACGTGCCGCAGCTGCCGGGCATGCGGGAGATGAAGAAGGAGGACGTGCCCAAAGTTCACAGCCTGGTGGTGAACTATTTGAGGAGAAGGGAGCTGCACCTGTGATGGTAGGGGAAGTGTTTCAGTGTTTTTTTCTATGGCAGTGCGGGTCAAACGCACATTTTTTGGGAGGTTGAAGGAACAAGGTGGCCCTTGACCTTTGGGGATGATTTTCAAGCTTTGCACTCAATGTTTGTGAAAATCAAGAGTGTAATGCTCAATGGTGGTACTCAATGCTTCTCACTGATGAAGTGCGACTTGTTGGGAGAATTCTGTGGCTTATACTCCAGGGCTTGCGTGTTTTTTTCGCTACGTTGGTGCCTCCTGTTTGAAGCCAGTGCCGGAGGAAGTTTACTTTGCATCCAGAGTTTTCACCAGAGGAGGCCAGCTGGAAGAGGATTCTGCCCCAAAAGCAGGGATTGGAATCTGTGTGATGGGATGATTGGCAGTCCCATTTTTTTAATGGTATCCATGTAAATTTCAGGACTCTGTACTTGTAGGCCTGCAACAAGAGTGTGGTAAACCCCAAAATCATGATCTTCATTGTTTCAGGAATGGGTGGAATGGGTGTCCTGAATATACCCTCCGGTAAACTAACATAGCTATTGAAAATGGCCATTTATAGTGGATTTACCCATCAAAAATGGTGATTTTCCATAGTTTTTTGTATGTTTACCAGAGGGTACAGACCAGCCTCACTTGCAAATTTGGTTAAAAAAAGCTCTGAGCCACTGCAGGTGGAGCACTGGATGCTGCCACGGACCGGCGTGGTCTACTGCTATGTCCGTGAAAACGAGAAGGGCGAAGTGACGGACGTGTGCTCCTTCTATAGCTTGCCGTCCTCCATTTTAGGCGAAGCGTTGTAGCTGTAGCTTTTTTCCGGAGCATCCCACACACAGCATGGCGATGGTTCATTTCGGTGAGAAGATATGGGTATGGATCAATACCTATTAATACCATTTTTAGGGGGATGAACATCCATTTACCAGCTATTTTGATGTGAACTACAGGGGTACTATTGGTTTTGACACACTGCCATATGAAATTCAACGAAAATCCTGCCGCCGTGACTTTCTATCGAAGTGAATTCATGTTCTTGCACTGTTGACATTCCACGCGACGCCACCAGGTCATGCGAAGCACACGCTCCTGAAGGCTGCCTACTCTTATTGGAACGTTGCCACCACCGTGCCCTTGCAGGACCAGCTGGTGCCCGTTTCCTCCAAAAAATGTGGCCGTTTTGGGAGCTCCAACTGGTAACTCCCAAAAACTCGATTGAACAACTGGAGCCGTATTCTCTGAACGCCTTGAAGGTTTCTTGTTCATCAAGCCGTTGAAATGGATGCTGGATGCAGTTCATATCATCCATCCACTACCATCCGTTTTTTAATTTTGGCATAAAATTATGTAGTTTAGTAGTTTATGGTGCATCTACTCAGTACTACCCAATATGGCAACCCGCAACTGGAGATTTCTTATTATACAGGAAATCCGGTCCATCTCCCCAATACATTTACTAGTTCTCTTTATTTTTGGGGTCCCATGTGGGCATTTTCACATTGTATTGGACCATAACATATGGATATTGATGTGGAAATGATGTGGATACAGAGATTCATAAATGATATGTATATAGTATATATATATATAAGGTAATGGTACATACATACATACATACATACATACATACATACATACATACATACCTACGTACATACCTACGTACATACATACATACATACATACATACATACATACATACATACATACATACATACATACATACATACATACATACATACATACATACACACAGACATACATACATACATACATACATACATACATACATACATACATACATACATACATACATACATACATACATACATACATACATACATACATACATACATACATATATACATACATACATACATACATACATCAGGCAGGCAGGCAGGTAGGCAGGCAGGCAGGCAGACAGACATACAGACATACAGACAGACAGACAGACAGACATACAGGCAGACAGACATACATACATACAGACAGACAGACAGACAGACATACATACATATATACATACATACATACATCCAGGCAGGCAGGCAGGCAGGTAGGCAGGCAGGCAGACAGACAGACATACAGACATACAGACATACAGACAGACAGACAGACAGACATACAGACATACATACATACAGACAGACATACATACATACATATATACATACATACATACATCCAGGCAGGCAGGCAGGTAGGCAGGCAGGCAGACAGACAGACATACAGACATACAGACATACAGACAGACAGACATACAGACAGACAGACATACAGACATACATACATATATACATACATACATCCAGGCAGGCAGGCAGGCAGGTAGGCAGGCAGGCAGACAGACAGACAGACATACAGACATACAGACAGACAGACAGACATACAGACAGACAGACAGATATACATACATACAGACAGACAGACATACAGACACACACACACACATATTATGCATAGATATCCCACATGTCCGGAAGCTTAAACCATCTCCTTTACGGCGCCAGGATCTGATGTACGATGCCCTGATCCTGGCGAAGCAGCAAGACTTTGACGTCTTCAATGCCCTGGACATCATGGAGAACGAGAGTTTCCTGAAGGCGGAAACGATGGGAAAACCATAGGAAAACCATAGGAAAACTAAAGGAAAATGGAGTTAAATTAATAGCAACCTGTTAGTTTACCAGAGGGTATGAACTGGGGATAGGCTCCGGTCATCTTGGAGGTTTGAATGGGAAAAGAATAGTGGTTATATAATACTGGCTTAATAATGGTTAATGATGAGTTAATAATGGTTAATGATGGGTTAATAATGGCTTAGTAATGGGAAAACAATAGTGGTTACCCTCTGGCAAACGTTTGCAGTTTGCGAACTGGAAAATCATGTTTAATGGGTAAATCAACTATTTCTATTGCCATTTTCAATAGCAACCTGTTAGCTTACCAGAGGGTATGAACTGGGGATAGGCTCCGGTCATGTTTGGAGCTTTGAATGGGAAACTAAATGTGGCTAATACGGGCTTAAACATGGTTAATCATAGTTAATGATGGAAAACAATGGCTTGATAACAATAATGGTTAGTAATTAATTGTTATTAATGGAAAACACGGCAGTTAATACTGGGTTAAAAATGGCGAATTTGGTTCATGGGATATTTTATGTTATACCTCTGGGAATCAAACTTACGTGGCTGGCAATGGGACGTCCCCAAACCAAATGGAGGCTTTAAAGGGAACATTTTTGCATTGCCATGTTTGATTGCCGCAGGGTATATAACTAGGCTTATAACTGGCCTATGGAAATCCATAGATAACTGGACTATACAAAGGTTATTAACCACCAAGTTGGGGAGGAGCTGAAATCGAGGAAATCACATAGATAACTGGACTGCCTAGGCTTGACATACCAATTAAGTTATACAATTTGGAGAATGATGAGAATGTCAACCCCAGATGAGACGTGACCGTTACCCCGTTTGATCGGGGTACTTGGTACCAAATAGTGAACATTTGCCACAAAAAAGTGGTAGCCACGTAAATTTTTGCAGCCTTTGGGTTTAATGATGGGTTGATATCAACAACTAGGGTTGTAAGTGGGTTGTATTTTCCGAGAACTGGTTGAAAAAACCACTTACAAGGGGATGCACTCGAGTTTCCTGTGGGTTTAGTCGGCCCCTAAAATAAAAGGTTGATGGGGATGATTGCCGCTATTATTTGGGTTCCATTGAGAGGTGCTTGCAGACGGAGCGGGTGGGATTCTTTTTTTGAACATATTTTTTGGGGTCTTCCCGGGAACTTAGTTTAGCTTGGTTCATTCCCAAAGACCCCAACACGGTTGCAATGATACAGTACCCTCTGGTAAACTAACATAACTATGGCAAATCACCATGTTTAATGGGAAAACTCATGAAAACTCACTATAAATGGTCATTTTCAATAGCTATGTTAAATTACCAGAGGCTAGTTGGTAATTGCTGTTGCTACTATGTTACTATGTCCCTGATTTGGGGAACCACTATTCTTTCCGGAAAGAGCTTGGGATGGCCAGGATCTGAAGTTTGGGATTGGCGATGGCTACCTGCGACTTGGCGTTGGAGCTTCCTAAACCCATCGGCATTTTTCCGGAAACGAACTGGATGAGTAGCCTCTGGTTATGACTAACAGTTCGCCATGGTTTTTCGATGGCCCTAATCGAAATAGATGCTTTACCGAACTTAATAGCATGGGTGGATCTTTAACCATGGCAAACTGTGAATGTCATGTCATAACCAGATGGTAAACACCTACTTTCATAACCGGATCGACGGTCCGGGGGAATGATGAGGGTCGGATCTCGGGCGCTGAGGCAGTACTACCTCTACAATTGGAAGTGCCCTCGGATTGAGCCAAAAGGGATTGGCCTAGTCCTGCTCTGAGGGTCGGTGATGAACCACGAGACACTGAACAGCCATGTTTTGCTTGAGCTTTGTGGTTGAAACCTGTTGAAACCAGGAGGAAGCATAGGTCATCATAGGTTATCATAGGTTCAAGTTCTACTACTATTTTGATTTGTTTAGTTTGATCAGATTTGTGATCCATCAAAGGGATCCAGACCAGCCAGAAGGAATCTACAACGCCCGATGTGCCCGGCCCCGCTGTCGATTTCATGGTTTTGGCGACCTGGTTGCGACCTCCACGGACATTTGTCCCTTAAGATTTGACATGGACACGGGTTGGAAATACAATGTTTTGCTGCAGCATTTTCTGGGGAAAGATCTGCAGAAACCAAATCTTACTATTGTTTTTCTGTGAAATCTTCTATTTTCTTTTCTGAGTGAAGATTTGAACATAGCGACTGTGGAGGTCTGGCAACAGGTCTAAGAGCATAAACCCTGCACTTCCACGCGGTGCGAAAAAAACCGCATCTTTCTGCTTGGCCCATTGGAATGAAACATTCAGCAGAGACCTTGCTGATTGTTTTGAGATCTTAATACGGCATCCCATGGATTTCTGAAGCTTGGCTCCAAGCCGAAGACGCCGGTGAGCCGCCATGCCGAATGAGCCTTGGTGTGGGTGCTGCTTCCTTTGGTTGAAACTGAAGTAGACTTAGAATCTGAACTTTGGCCAATTCCACCGGGGCCCTGCCTTGGTATTCACATGTAGTCATGACATTACATGGACATTCATGTGCGCCTTTGCACGTGTTAAGCGTTTGCGGGTGCCGGAATGGTTTGCCCCTCTTCCCAGTTGAATACAACTCAAGTTCAATTTTGAGACTCCCCTGAACTGAAGGAAGAAGCTCCATACTGCGCTGAAAGCCTCTTGGCCGAGAGTTAGCTGAATCCCGACAGCCTGGGTTGAGACTTGGAGTAGAGCTTGGGAAATTTGAGAGTGAATCTGGGTAGGCCATATAAAGCAAATCAAAGAAGAATGAACGCGTCTGTGGTGGAACTTGTATAGCTTGGGAAACTGGCATGGTGCAGAACATTGCTCTGGGATTCGTCATGGGTGGAGCGGGTGGAACTGCGCAGGTTGGCGGGTACTATGACGATGAGCTTGTGGACAGATGTTGGGAACTGGGCGGGCTGACCTGTAGGTGTGTACATATACAGCGCATATGCATATAGATCTATATAACTGTACGTGTATACTTATACACATGTAATATACTTATCAAATATAATTTATACATATTTATCATATTTAGACAATGTATCCACATATATTTTGAGTTAAATTCTACATATCTACATATCTGTGACCCATCCCTCAGGATGAAAACAACCACTGGGTTGCAGGGTTAGTCATGAGGATTCTTTGATGTGGCACAACGGTCTGGGGGGTGCTAAGATCCACACTGGTTTGAAAACAGGATACAGCAGAAAATCTCAAGGATGAGAAAATCAATCTCCCATAAAAAATTCTCTTTTGTAGGTATCCGCCATTTTCAGGGCAGCGTCCTTTTTTATTGGGTTTATCTTCAAAAAAGAGGTTTGTCATTAGGTTGACTGCAACACAACTAGAAGGCAGGGGCCCAAAACCTATACTTCAACCGCATGAAACATGCCCGCAAAGGCCAAACATTTACTGTTTTCATTGTATTGGTTTGGGAATTTTGTGCGAAACCTCTGTGCTACATTTGATGGGAAATTTGGTTACATGTAGATTTCCCCTTTTCGGACCCCTCAAAGAGATAGAAAAGTTGGACATATGGAAATTGTGAAGTATACAGCATCTAAACGTTTATGAACATTTTGAAACATTGTTTTAAAACAATTTTGGGAACTGTATCAATCATCCCATTGATCCATTGAATCCATCCATGGATTTTAGCTTAAATCACAGCCATTTTTCACATGGATTCATAGCTTTCACATGGCGAAATCCCTAGTCCCGAAACAAGAAATACCTGGAGGATCATCTGATCATCAATCCGTCCTCAAATAGTGGGCTAATCCCATCACCAGTATAGTTACTAACCAATTACTACTTGAAGGGATGATCCTTCAAGTAGAAGAATAAAAGGGCTAAAAACATCCAAAAACATCCATCAAAACACATAGAAACAAAAAAACAACTTCCAAAAAACACCCAAACCTCCAAAATTTTACAGCTGTGGAAAAGCTGCTGCTGGGCAGCGTTTCAGGAGCTCAACAACCGCTACGACCGGCTGCTGGAAGACTGTCAAGAGCTGCGGCGGCGCTGCACGCTACGGCCCCAACGACCAGCCAGGTGGACTAATGATCCGGCCGCTCCAGCGGCAGTTTCAATAGCTATGGAAAGAGTTGGTTTCCAAAGTGGTAAACAAATAAATAAATATAATATATGTATATATATGTGTATATAATGTATATGTGGTATAACAATTATTTATATCATTTATATCTATAAAAGTTGGATTATACCATAGTTATACCATTTATACATACGATATTTATAAAGAAAGTATCCTAGATCACTGGAATTATCCAACTTAGCCATCGCCACACCGACCGGTGTCATCAAACCTGGCAAACTGGGAAATCCCCGAACTAAATGGAAGTTTCTAGCTGGAAAATCATCTATCATTGCCACATTTGAATACCCGAGGGTAGCCCATATGTAACCATCGTGATCATAGTGATGAAACCCATTTACATATAAATGAAGAACCCCACATATTTTGTTGTTTGTCAAATGGGTCGAACGTGGGTTGTGCTTCCCTTTGAAACGGATTTGATCATTCCATCCTGCGCATGAATGAGATCCACATTTCCTATGCATTCTTGGCGTTTGAGCATTCTTGCATTTCTGGTTCCATGATTGGTTGTCCCATTGATATCATATCTGGGTAAATTATAACAACCTCATCATGACTTGGCTGTAGATGATGCAGCCAGATATACACTTGGTATACTCCATTGAGAATGACAACATTTATGTTGATAATACCTACATTAAACAGTTATACCTAGAAATTATCAGCCCTAATGCAAATCAACTGATCTTATATCGGTGACTAGTATTTATGCCAGATACATAGTATATACCCTTGGTATCTAGCCTTGGTATGTAGTGTAGTTGCTACCCCTAACCAGCTACATTGCTGTAGTAACCATGGTTGGGTGATGTTGGGTGTGTCCCCTAAGCAGGCCAAGCACTGAAGAGGCGCGTGACGTGAAAACGTGAGTTCGCGTGCGGGTCACCGGGGATGATCCATCTATATCTGATGCTGACATTAAACATGAGAATACCCTCTGGTAATTTAACATAGCTATGGAAAATCACCATTTTTTATGGGAAAACTCACTATAAATGGCCATTTTCAATAGCTATGTTAGTTTACCAGAGGGTATATGCATGTCTACATCTACATCTATATAAGGCAACCTCTCTCTCTCTCTCTTTCTATACATACATCTTCCGTCCAGCAAATTACCCTGGACCTCACAGATGGATTTAGCAGATGTTTTTCTGTGGACATGGCACCCATTGAGGTCCCATTTAAACGTCAAGGATTCTTAGGAAATGCCTTGAAATGCCACCATGGATCCTTCAAATGGGCGGCATCAGGAGTCGAATCCCAGCGCTTACCAAGCACCTCTTGGTGCTTGTTCCTCAGCGGCATTTTGAGAGTTGGTGGAAGCCTAAATCCATAGTAAATACAAACAACATGTGGGCCTACACAGAGATAGAGGGCGAGTTCCCTACTTTTTGAAAGTTTTCCAACTTCAAACAACGTCGAGTTCAGGGTCATTGCAACAACATTTTTTCCCTACCCGCCAAGCTTGACATTTCTGTTCCATCTGCAGCTGAGCATAAAAAATGTGGTTAGATCGTGAGCAGCTGAAGGTGAAGCGAACGATGGGTCAAAAGCCTTTCTTTTTACGTTTTTCGTAGATGTAAGGGGCAACCTCCCGAACTATCCCGCTGCTGGATCCATCAATGGGGCTCCATTTTAGAGATGCCGAAAATCATCCCGCACCATGGCCCAGTGCGCCTTTCTGAAGAAACACCGTAAAAAAGGGGGAGTGTGGGGGTTCAATACAATGTAATGTGGGTAAACAGGAATAACCCATCCCCCAGTCATCACCATTTTAATAGGTGGCACAAACTTACCATTCCCAGTCATCGGTGGTAAAAATGGCATTGTTTTACCCACATGAATCCTTGTTCACTTGCCATATCCTGCCATTTTACCCAGATTTTACCCACATTTTACCCAGATTTTACCCAGATTTTACCCACATTTTACCCACATGATGCTTCAACAAAGTCAACCTTCATCACTTCGCCAGGGCCCCAGCTGGATGGCTCTGACCCTGCCTTCAATCCTGGCAGCTTCCCCGACCGGGGCCACTTGGTGGAGCTCATGCAGAGGCGCCAAAAGGTCCGAAAGTTGTGATTCATCAACTATTTAGTGGGATTTGATGAACATTTTTTCTTTCTTTTCTGGGGTTGTGATAGAAACCGAATTTTTACATGTGTCTTGAATACATTGTCGTGGTAGAAACCCAAAGACTTGAGAAGATGGTGACTGACAGACAGACCAGGTGCATGCGATTTGTAAACATGTGCATCCGTATCTACATGGTGAGCTCTCTTTGATGGCCATCCAACTTAGTAACCGGTCAGCAACTTGCAAGTGGCACCATGAGATTTAACTGGAGGCTTTCCCAGCTTATCAGAGAGTAAACCTGCAATCATAGGTTCCTTCGAGTTTCGGAATGGCTACACGCCCATGAAAAACCACAGTTTCATGAGTCATGAGTAGTTCGTATCCAACTTATCTACGTCTGATCTATCTATCTATATATATATATATATATGTGTGTGTGGGAATGCCCAGAAATGGGACATACCGTACCCGAAAATATTGTGGTGTTACGGACAGGGTGATGATAAAGCATGGGGCCTGATGGTTTTCCCAAAAAGATCAGACAATTGTCCGATCAACTTACAGGGAACAAACCAGGCTAATTAAACCGGAGGGTATATCATGTTTGATCACATACGGCATGTATGTATAAATCA